GTGCATGCTCACAGTCACTGAGAAGTGAGATTCAAACACCATCATTGCTATCATGGTACACAAAGTATTTGGGATGAAAATATTGAGTGTTATAAACTCCAGAGGTGCATAAAATATTAAAGAGAGGTGATCTAACACCAGAGTATAGGAAGGATCCTTTAGTCATGGAAAACAAGCCTTTCATGTTTAGGGATAAATCTTTCAAAAATATAGTGTGCTTCTCATATACAAGTAGATAGAGGGCAGTATGTTATTTCCCCCTCAGGGCATTCAAGATGTAGAAGAGTTTGTTTCTTCATCAGAACAGATTTAGCATTGCATGTCTGCAGTGAATGGGTGCCGTCAGAATGAGTCCAAACAGCTGTTACAAACATCACCGTAATCCACAAGCAATCCACACAACTCCAGTCCATCAATTTATGACTTGTGAAGCAAAAAGCTGCGTGTTTGTAAGAAACAAATCCATGATTAAGGTGTTTTAACTTTAAAAATTCTCAGTCTAACGGTACCCCTTGACTGCAGATCCACTGGTGAGCAAATGACATAATGCTACATTTCTCCAAATCTGTTCTGATGAAGAAACAAACTCATCTACATCTTAGATGGCCTGAGGTGAATTTTCTTTTTGGGGCAAATTATTCCTTTTTTAAGTTTATTTTAATAATTTTATTAGAAATGTGCTTTATGGTATGTAGAGAAGTACAGGGTTCAGTGCATTTTCATTACTTTTCTACAATCTTTCCAGTCCTTTTTTCAATTTTTTTAATCATTTCATAAAAATGAATCCAGATTTCCATTTGTATGTCAGTAACCAATCTTTGTAGTCTACATTTTTTTCTAGTGTACCAAAGTCCCTCAGTGGACAGACTGATGATATCAAGCTGACTTGTGGACCAGTTTTACTCTACTTTAAGATCTTAATAATTTCCATGATGTTTCCAGAACTGGAAATCACATGTTTTCCATGATCGTGGGAGCCCTTCAGTGAGCTTATCTACAATTAGTTTTCTTAATGTAGGCCAGTGAGTCTCTTGATCTTATAATGTACTAAGTGGAAATATCTGTTCATAAAATCAGTCGTCAGCAGTCAGATCTGCTTATTTCAAAATCACATTTCTGCATTCCAAACTGAGTATCTCACTGTCCATACTGATCAGCCTTTCTGCTGTTTAACTAATTTTTAAGCGGAGCAACATATGGAAAAAAAAGATAAAAAAAAAAAACTGTAGGAAACCTCTTTAGGAGGTGTTTTTGACTCCTTAATGGATAGAGAAGGAGGGAGAGTGGCTAAAAAGATGGAGTAGGCTTCAGGCCAGGCAGATTGGGGATTGTTTTCGGATGGTATTATCTTGATACCTTTATTAGACTCCAGGGCATGTGCAGTAACACTGATGACACAAATCCATTCTCCTTACCGTGTTAGTATGCGGCACTGATATCTTCATGAGCTCAGCTTCTTAACAAAGCTCTATCTTGTAAATCATAACTTTGTTTGGGCCAAGATATTAATTTTAGGGCATCTGGCTGACCACTCTTCACATGCATCAAACAGAGGTTTGATGGTGAAATAGCTGAGAGGACAACAGGCAAAGATCTTCTCCTGTTGTTTGGAATTCATGTTATCATACTGGATAACATGATCGATCAGGTTTTGCACAAACGTGGAGTTTTCTAAAGCATGTCTTTTTTTCTTAGGTGGTGTAAATGAGCTTGTATAGATATAGTCAATAAAACAAAAGGGAAATTCCAAATAATAAGAAACTTTAAAATTTGTTTAATTCTTTCTTTATTAAAAATAATTGAATATATAGTTCAGTCATGAAACTCTAGATGGCGCAGGCGACGGGTTGTTAACATAACCGATGATATTCAGAGAGTTAAACGACTTGGCACAGCTGATTGGTCCATGCTGCATATGCAGCCAATGAGCTTACTGCCTTGCATTTATATGGCTGGCTAGCATTCACTAGAGATTCCTGCAGCGCGCTTTCAGAGTTTCTCTGAAACCCTTCACCTTCCCCAGCTCCACCTGTATAGATCTGCTGCGGGTTATTTTATATGTTATTTGTGCAGCAGCAGTACATCTTAAATACTCATGGCACCGTACCGCCATATGCATTGGCAGTAGCAAGTTGCTGTACTTGCTTGCAGCAGCAGCAATAATCTACAACTACAGCAATAACCAACAACAGCAGCAATTCAGCAGCAGCGTAGCAGATCTGTTCCGCCAAGACCAATATCCATCACCATGCTAAAATCTTCCGAGAGTTGTCATGATTGAAATACAATTTAGTACATTATGTTTAATAAATGAATTAATAACTAATAAAAAATACAAAATAAGAGTCATCTGTGGTCTCACAATTTTGAGCCCCTTTGTATAATTGTTGGTGGATGGTTTTGGCTACACACTCTCAAGAATAGAACATCAATCTTGGTAATGTTTAATGTGCATCTCTCTCAGGTTGATTTCTGTGCTACTCAGCGCACAGGGGAGCATTTTTAGACTCTTCACTCCTTCTTGTCTCGACTCAATAGGTTTAACAGGAGACTTCAAGCATCCTGCAGGAATTCCAAAATGTGCTTGATCTGAAGAGCATGTTGAAAAGCATGTCATGTTTTGTGTGTGCAGAACTTTCTCTTGTTCTCTTCCTCTTGTTACATCACTGTCACAGGCAGTGTTGGGCAGTAACGTATTACTTAATAACGCGTTACTGTAATTTGATTACTTTTTTAGTAACGGAGTAATTTAACACGTTATAATTTTCAAAATAGTAATTAGAGTATAGTTACAAGCCGAGGTCTCTATACGTTACTGCCGCGTTACATTGCTGACAGATTGCAGTGTTTTATAATCTAGAGATTGTAAAAAGGTAGCTCACGCACTGTCGAGTCAAGCGCCAGTGGATTAGAGACCTGCTCCCGTGAGACTCGACGCAACAGCGTGGCGCGGGACAAGACTTGATAGGCGAGTGCAGAGACTCGTGTGTGTGTGTGTGTGCAGGATGCGGGAGAATAAAATGATTCACGGGACTCCCACAAAACAGAAATATCTAAACATAAAATATCTAAAACAAATAATTATAATCAGTAATCAGTAATTTGATTACATTTTCAGAGTAACTTGCCCAACACTGGTCACAGGTCAATTAACACAGTTTGCTTACACTTTTCCTTTAATTATCACTCATTTTCAGTTGTCTCTGATGAGTAAAGAAATGCCCTGGACTTCCTTCTGTTTATTCAAACCACACGTAAGAAACATACGCACTGATGAACTGGAGTGTGTTCATGTATATAGACAGCAGGAGAGAATGTAAGCGGAAGAGAAAGTTGGAAAAAAAAAAAGCAAAAATAGGTTGTAATTCTCTACAGCAACTGTTCCTCCTTGTCATTAAGCTTTCTGTGGGTGGCCACAGTTACCAATGCATTCTCCTGTGACGCACATGCTGGAGAGCTGTGAAACTTTTTTCCAGTGTCTGTCACTGTGCTGGATTCTTGTGCTGGCCTGAATGAGCACACTCAAGTTTAGATTGAACTGTTTTTACATAATACTTGACAGGACAAATTTTGACAAGGGTGACAAAGTTTCACCCTTACAAAACAGAACTGTAGCGTTAGCATGGGGATGGTGTCAGATTGTAATCCCATGGTACTTTGATATATTCCATTGCATAATTTAAATAAATACAGTACCATTCAAAAGTTTGGGGTCAGTACGAAAAAAAAATTATAATACTCTTATTCAGCAAGGATGCATTCAATTTATCAAAAGTGACAGTAAAGACTTTTACATTGTTACAAAAAATTACATTTTAAATAAATGCAGTTTTTTTATCAAAGAATCCTAAAAAAATGCATCAAGGTTTCTGCAAAAATATTAAGCAGCACAACCGTTTTCCGTCATACTGATGATATTAAAAATCCTCTTTTAAAAAACATTTTAAAAATCTTACAGACCCCAAACTTTTAAACACTGTTGTATGTATATATAGACAAAACTGCTACAAATAAATGGACATAATTGAATTGAAAAAGGCAAAATAACTATTTTATGTCCAAGTTGATAGCTAATCACTACTGCAGCATGAAGTTATGTGGCAAAAATGTAATGTACTATTGTTTAAAACATGTTTATAATATAATATAATGTATACAATATAAAAGACCATAGAATAATACTTATTCTTCTAGTTTGAGTATTTTTAAAGAATAGTGTGCAGTATACAGTATGTAGACTATTCAGTAAATAAATTGGTATTCCATTCCAAATGTGTCCAGATTGAGTGCTAGTATCTGGATTAAAGTTTGACACTGCTTTGACTTTTGACCTGTGACCTTTCACACGCCTGCTTTTCATTAACACCCCCAACCATTTTAATTGATTCCGATTTTTTCAAATTTTGTCTGTTTATTTTAACTGTTCATAGCCTGATCATAGTTTTTCTCTCATTTTGTCTTACATATTATAAAGTCAAATTGTTTTGGTTTACCGCACTGCAAATCACTGGAGTCCAGCAGTGACTCAGTCTTTGCTTTTTTCTCATAGTGTATATATGGATGACATGCGCTTTTGCGAGAACCACCCGTTCATATGGTTTAAATTACAGGGTATGATATGCAGACACAGAACAAAACGTCTTTTTTATTATTTATGATATGTTGAATGCTTTAAATGATATATCCAGGTCTGTATTATATTCCATTTGAATGTATTTTTCATATGTTGGATTTGTATTGTATAGGCTGATTAAATATGCCAGGCTTGTTCTGTGGGGTTGCAGCTGTGTGCATTTGTGTGATACAGTGGTGCTTACTCCCCTCTAGTGTTAGTGTTAAAATTACAACAGTACATGAATTCTCTCTGCCAAAAAAAAAAAACCTACAGTGCTGTGATAAAAGCCAGATTAGGGGGAATCTGGGCTGACTACTGTTTTTAAGGCCTGCTAACTGAATTTTCCATAATTAACATGCACATTTCATGTTTGTTTTGTTTTTAGAGAGGATTTTGAAGAGGAAGGATTCTGCCAGCCGTATAGAGGGATTGCGTGTGCTCGCTTCATAGGAAACAGGAGTATCTTCGTGGACTCACTGCAGATGCAGGGCGAGATTGAGACCCAAATCACAGGTAGCCCTTTAAAAAAAACATTCACTCCTCAGTCCTTACAAAAGACATTTCGAAACAACTCTACTGTACAGACTTCAACCGAAACACAGCTGATAAAATCAGTTTGAAGCCTTAGATAAGACAGCTTTTCCCCGCTAGAATGTGTTTTTGGACATTTATGATGGTCATAAATGAGCATTTATCATGGTATTCTTTGAGCTATGTGAATTTAGTAATTATTCACGACCATCTTTTTATATATCTGCCATGGTATTGCAATCTGATATCATCTCTTTACTATAGTACAGCCCACCTTCCTTTTTTCAAGGGAAAAGTTATGTAATCTGAGAGAGTTTAAAGGTTTTTTTAAGGCTAAATCTTGGTATCATATACATAGGATTGGACTAAGCCTGGCTTCAGTTTTAAATTTGAATAGTTTTTTGTTTTCTGTGACGAAGTTTACAATTGTAGCCATTTTAGATCACACGGGCATTCACTGTGGTTTCCTCTCTCAAGAGTGAGCAGGCAATTTGTTTTTGAAAGTACACAGCTTCTTGCAAAATCACAACAATTCACCAGAACTTTGTCTCTTTTTTGTTTGTGTGTAAGATATAATTTCCCTCGAATACACTAGATTGTTACGTAGCTTGTTGGAATCCACAATGGCTTATTCTTGCTTTCAAATCTGGAGGAAACCCCTGTGTAAAGGCTTGTTTCTGGTTTTTTCCAGCGGCGTTCACCATGATTGGCACCTCCAATCACCTGTCAGATCGCTGCTCCCAGTTTGCAATCCCGTCCTTGTGCCACTTTGCCTTCCCGACATGTGACCGCAGCTCTGGCATGGACAAACCGCGGGACTTGTGCAAGGACGAGTGTGAGATTCTGGAGAATGACCTGTGTAAGACAGAGTACATCATTGCTCGTTCCAACTCCCTCATCCTCAAGCGCCTCAAACTGCCCAACTGTGAAGACCTGGCCGCTTCGGACAGTCCCGAGGCTGCCAACTGCATGAGAATAGGCATTCCAATAGCTGAGACCATAAATAAAAGTAAGTATTTTGTGTAATTATTTAAAAAAAGACTTGTCAAAATGTTATTTTATTGAAAAACTAAATCAATTCTCTTCTTCTCTTCCATTTTAGGCCACAAATGTTATAACAACAGTGGTTCAGACTACCGCGGGACAGTCAGCGTGACTAAATCTGGTCGTCAGTGTCAGCCGTGGAACTCGCAGTATCCCCACAGCCACACCTTCCTGGCCATGCGTTACCCAGAGCTCAACGGGGGACATTCCTACTGTCGCAACCCCGGCAACAAGCACGACGCTCCCTGGTGCTTCACCCTAGATGAGAGTGTGCGCATGGAGCTCTGCAACATTCCTCCATGTGGTGAGATGCACTACTCATATTGACATATGACTATGTTCAGAATAGCATACTACACTCATACTATTTCCAAAATATACAGTACGCATGCTATGTGAGTTTTCTTTACGCACAGAATAATGATAAGATCTATTGAATTTGCTAAATGCTGTATCACACAATGAAATGCACTATTAGTATAATTTATAGGCCTAGACCATTATAGTATTTATTAAAGATTTTGAATTTGATTTAATTTTTATACTGTATTTAATATAGCTTTAATTAACTTTTATTTCAGTGTTTATTACAGTTAGTTGCAAAGCCAACATTTCTAATTTTCTAAGTTTTTATGTTTCCTAATACTATACATTTTATTTCAGCTTAATTTTAACTACTAAAAACATTTTTTATATAGTTTCAGTTTTACAGTTACATTAACAGCAAAGCAATGCACCTCCCATTTCAAGTGCGATGAGAACAATAAATATGATTTAAAGTAACATGAGCTACGATTTTACTTTTTACTTTTTTTATTTATTTTTTTTTTGATTATTTCATTGGACTGCAAAAAGTTAAAATATTTGTACACAAAATTTGGTTAAAAATGCTAAATATTTTTGAAATGATAACTGTGCATGTACTAAGGTCAACTGCATTATTAAATAAACTGTTTTGCATGCTCTTTTAAAAATTAGTATGCAATGTACAGTACTTTTTCCAGTATGCAGTATGCTAGTATTTGATTCTGAACTTAGCCAAACTTGGGTAATATGTGAAAGATTTTACTCCAAAACACATATTTTTAATGAGCACTGCCTTAGCTTGACTGCAAATTGTTGTCATAACAGAATTATCATATGGTTTTAGTTCATATATTTGTTTATTGATTGTCCTCAGATTTGCCCAAGCATGGCAGCAGCAGTATGGGGATCCTGTACATTCTGGTACCAAGCGTTGCTATTCCGCTAGCCATCGCCCTGCTGTTCTTCTTCATCTGTGTGTGTCGAAACAACCAGAAAGCCTCACGTCCACCAGCCCCACGCCAGCACAAACCGGTACGCGGTCAGAACGTGGAGATGTCCATGCTCACGGCATACAAACCAAAGGTGAGATGTTACTACTAACAGATCATAACCAACTATGAAAGTGCATCTACACCACAGTGTATCAGTGGATTTCAGCACAAAAACCTGCATTTTATTCTCTTACTTCCCAAAATTCAGGTGCTAAATGCGCTGAAATTAATTATTAAAGGAGACATATTATGCCCCTTTTTACAATATGTAATATAAGTCTCTGGTGTCCGCAGAATGTGTCGGTGAAATTTCAGCTCAAAATACTCCACAGATCATTTATTATATCATTTTGAAAATGCCTAGTTTGAGTGGAAGCAGAAACACGCTGTTTTTCGGGCCTGTCTCTTTAAATGCAAATGAGCT